ACGGGATGACAATGCCGGCCAACCAACCCGAGAGTACAATAAACTATGATGGGTAAGGTCTATTGAATTTGTGATAAACCTTAATGCTCCATGATAAACCGAATCCAACGCCTGTAAACAATGCTTAGGTGCCTGCATATAAATGATATCACAATAATCCAACACTGACAAAAAAGTAGCTGCTACCAATCTCTCCCTTGCTTCAAAAGAAAGACAAGACTTAACTCTTAAAAAAGTTTTGACTTTAATTTTTTCACAAGGTACTGAACATAAGGCCCAAAAGAAAGAGAATCATCGATTAAAAATCCCAGGTATTTCTATACATCTCAAAAAATATAAATAAAAACCTCAAGCTCACTGAAGACAAGTAAACAGTCAGTGATTAAATAAGAATAAGAAACTAATTAAAAGCAATAGGACAAAAAACTACAGTAGAAGAAATAAATAAGAAATGCTACATGCATTGTATGAAGTAATCAAATGTATAATAACACTGCGTATTCTTCAATATGTAAATTAAATATATATTTCTTCTTCTTAAAGTTACAAAAGTGATTTAGTGAAGAGTAGTGAGAAATTTTCTCCCTTTTGTTGTTTGATTAGCATGAATGACAAACAGCAGAAAAATTAGACTGCTGTCACTTTATGAGCTGCCTGGATCCAGTATACTTTTTCTTTTCTTTTTTTCTTTTCTGTTTGCTTTCACTTAAGACATAAACACACACAAGTGTGTGTATTTAACCGATTAAGGCCTATAAAGCAGCAAAAATAACTCCGTTCAGTACTCCCACGCTCTATGAGCACAGTCTCTCAGACAGCGTGCACATATAGCGAAATGAGTTTCTCTTTCACTGTGGATTGCAATTCAACTGCTTTAAAATAACTATTATGACAAATTGCTACAGGTTAATCGCGTCTACTGGTATACCGCCCACCCCTAATTGATGCTAATACAAATCGCTCAAATATTATCTGTTAACAGTGGTATTCAGCTGACTGTATTTTTAGTAAAAAAAGTAAATGTTAGATGCTGGGTCAATACCGGACTACCGATAAGCTTCAGGACAAACAATACTGTTATCGATACTTGCGTTGTTTTATCTCAGTATACTTAATTAGAAGCTGTTCTCATAAACCGATCTCAAGCTGATGACGCGCCTACCGTCAGAGCTTTGGCATGACATGCAGTGGCACCATCTCAATCTCTGTCCAGCGCGGGTAAAATAATTATAATGCTAAAGGTGAGGTACAATTCTTATTTCTTTATTAAATAACTTACTAAATAATTTTAAAACTTTCTGTGAGGCATAATTTTACAAACAGCACGAGTGAATCTCCGCGAGCTCTCTGTCTTTCCCTCTCAAAATGCGCAAATGGGCTGTTCTCATAAACCGATCTCAAGCTGATGTCAGAGCTTTGGCATGACATGCAGTGGCACCATCTCAATCTCTGTCCGGCGCGGGTAAAATAATTATAATGCTAAAGGTGAGGTACAATTCTTATTTCTTTATTAAATAACTTACTAAATAATTTTAAAACTTTCTGTGAGGCATAATTTTACAAACAGCACGAGTGAATCTCCGCGAGCTCTCTGTCTTTCCCTCTCAAAATGCGCAAATGGCTTCATATCACCACATCGCGTCTGCACTATAAGCTGCACTCTGCACGGTTGACACAGGAATTGTCACAGTTTACATGCATCGTCACTAAAGGTTATAATTTGCATTTCTTTTTAAGCTTGGCTAGTATTTAAACCATTCAGCACTTGTGCGCACTCCAGAGACTGTGTGCTCATGCACACTCAACAATTGCCCCATTGTAAAAACAAAAATACACAGCATGATCAAAAATTTAATTACACATTTTTGAACGAAAAAAAAAAAAAGTCTAAAAATCCCCCCCTCCACCACTCAAATTAAAAAAATCCTCCCTCCCTCAAGAGGGGAATTCACCCCATTTTCAAAAAT